AAAATGTCAGCTTTCCCGCTCCTCTGATGCTGCCTGGCCTGCTGTGTTCATCCAGCTCTACACCTTGTTATCTCAGACTCCAGCATCGGCAGTTCCTACTATCTCTGAGAATATGATTGTTGATTGTTTTGGCAAGTTGATTCTGATTGGCTGGGATGTCGTGATAGAGTAAGCAATGAAGAACTGTCAGCTCCCCCAGCATCTGGGTATTTCAAAACAGGTGCAAAGTTTGAACATGTTCCTTTAACTTGCAGACGTTGGGTCCCAGTGTATGTAAGTCACTTCAAGAAAGCATAAATGGTTATGAGCTTTACTGATTATCTTAAATTGATCAATCTGGCATTGAAATCCATGCACAACATTGCTCAGTTGTTTGATAAACTGAAGGGTTACAATCTTAATCCAAAGATTTTCACCAGGGAATATCTCATTTTTGGGGAAAAAGACCTAACACGGGCTGTTGATTCCAAGACCAGATCGACAAATTTTTTTCAAACATTAAAGTAAAACCAACCCCAGCCAACAGAGACATTGATCACCTAATTGCTAGCTCCAAATTGGCTAGGGAGATAATGATATCCACCAGTTTGATACAATTAGATAGAGAGATGATAGAGCCCTCTGGAAGGCAGTTCACACATTGTACAATATTCAAGATCTGGAATACCCATTGTTCCACAGCTAGAAAAGGGGTGGGAAAACAATACACATTCAAGCTACACTTTCTGTCCAGATGACCAATCAAGGCAATTTTGATTGTTTTTGCTATCTCAGTAGAGCAGTCAGAAAATGATGTAAGTGGGGCATCCTCAGAAAGGAAGGGGTTAACAGTGGAACAAAAGAAGAAATGTGGAGGCAAACTCCTAGCTGTGTCTCTATACCAAAGGAAGCCACATATGCCAAAGAATCGGTACAGCCCCAAGGACGCTAACCAGAGAAGAGACTACAGGGTTAACGCTTCACCTGAAGCCTATAGAACCCTCAACCCAATGCTGTGTGCAGAGTTGCCCCACATCTCCTAACTAGAGATTTTTGGGATTTTAAGAGCTATTTTGTAATCAGTCATAAGAACATTTAGCGTTGGTTCTACCATACTGAGATTCACTGTATGTATTATACATAAACTCATTATTCAGTATCTGAAATCTGTGTCAATTGCATTATTCATCTTTTTTCAGTATGGTTCATTAAAGTCAGCCCTGACCTTTGACTGTGAATAAGTGAGTTCAGTCATAACCAGTAAAGCTGAATAACCATCACTTGATCGGAAACATCCTACAAAGCATAATAGCCCTTCAGAATGATAACAGCTTCCTATTAGTGGGAAATGCCTTTGGAGTTACCACCGTATATTTACAACATGAAATGGCTTGATAACCTGTTGATCAAACTTTCAGATACTTTGCCTTTCCTGGACAAACTGAAGTCACCAAGCACTTCTCAGATCTGAAAGTTAAATCCCAAAACAAAGTGTTTACTGTTCGATGTGATTCCATGTTTGGCCAACACTTGCTGATAATCCCGAGTGTGCTAATAGCCACACTCACAACCAATTTAAGATAATCAGTCAAATTGATAACATGGCTCATTTATGCTTGATCGAAGTAACGTACATTCATATACAGGGATCCATTCTGTGAAAGCAAAAGGAATGTGTTCCAAATTTGTCCCTTTCTTGAATTAACCTGGAGAGTCATAGCAATTTGTAGTTCCATGTTGTTTTCTCCATGGCAATGCCTCAGCCAATCTGAATTTACTTGCTGACTAATCGGCACTCTTTTCTCTTGTAAGATAATTTGTTGCATCGTTTGAACTTTGGCATTTTTGGCATTTATCCTGATGGGTGTGAGATGAAAAGCTTCAGTAACTTATCTCTCTGTTCAGCAATATTCAGAAACATTTTCAGTTAGCAATTTATATTGCCACGAGCATGCTATAATATAAGGCAGGAAGCACATTACCTTAAATACAAAAGAATGCAAGTCTACAGCAAAGCCACTGAAGGTTGAAATATCTATTTAGTTCTCAAGTATTTTGTTTACTTGCACAAATTACAAGAGGAATAATAGACCAGACCATATACGGAGCATCACACGAGAATTAGGTCATTTTGGCTCCACACTTCTAATTTAATAGGCTCTGCATTCATTATACAACTATTACATGACCTAAAACTCTTGCAATTTGTGTGTAAGCAGCTGGTTCACAATAAGCTGGTTGTTTTGCAGTTTTTAAAAAAAATGACATTTTTAACATTTTCTGCTGTTATATATAGCTTGCTGTTCCTAACATTCTTGTTTATTTTAAATTATCCCATATATGATATTCTCATTTTTATTTACAGAACATGGTAAGTATCATTACGTCTGTGGGAGCTTGATGTGGGTAAAATAGGTTGCCATGTTTACATTCAGTTGTTTGTGTTTTATTATTTCTGTGTTACTTTGTGTTATAAAAGCAAGATTCACTTTTGTTTAGGTACAGTCATGGTAGACTTACTTTTGTACAATTGCTGAGTATTTTGAAGTTAGACTTTCCCTGTAAGTAAATAGATATGATATGTTATTATTTGTGGCAGAAGTTACATTGTAAATTATGTTGTACAATGTGCTCCTTACACCAAAACTTTTAGTGTTGTCTTATTCAAACATTTGAACTTTTCTCACCAGAATGATCAATGTGAATATTCAGTAAATTATTGCACTTAATTTTGAAACATTCTCCTGACAGCAATAATGCATTTTGCAGATTTTAAACCAAACTGTCATGACCAAGTGCTCAGTAAACCATTTCTCAGTTTTATTCAAAACTACAATGCAACATAAGTCAAAATGAAATGTAGCATCGTGTGTTGCAGAAAAGATTATGTCAAAAACAGTTGGCACAAAGTTTTTCTGGTTCTCCTGTATGCCCAAGGCAGTTTTGTCAAGGACTCTCAAGTGAAGATAAATTTGCTTCAAGTAGATCAAGCTTTGAAGTCTCCAACAACACTCAAGCCAGCAGCGATATCTTTTCAGTTATTGGAGATGTAAACTGCTTTTGAACAATGTATGTGTACAGACTTGTGATATTATAAAAGAAAGGCTACTAATTTTATGCATTTATTTATGTGTTGTATAGTACTGAGATACTGTAAAACAAATTTAATAAGGCTCAGCTCCTAAAGTAGAATTGCTCAATGGGGGTATGATGGAAGAATTTGATGCTGAGATTGGTGCTTCTGACATTTTGGTGATTAATTTTAATTTTCTTACAGCAGGAATGATGGGAATTAGATGGCTCAGTTCCACTGTTAATTCTTCTATTACTGTTCCCAAAAGTCCATGCTGAATACTTTATATGATTTATCCTTTTCTGGAAAACAGCTCTTTGATAAAATAAATCATTGACAGTTGCGCAATACAGGATCAGCTTTTTGTAATGTGACACTTCTATGACTGGAAATTAGTTACAGTTTTATAATTTACATCCCATTACTGTCAAGCAGAAGTCTGGAGTGGTCTACACTGTATTAATGCTGTTGTGCCATTTGCACATAAACAATAATTTGCATCAGATAAGATTGGTTTTGACAATATTTCCTTGACTCTTTGATGGAGTGCTTAAGGATGAAGTGTTTTGTGGATATGTTTATTCAAAAGTACAGCCTTTATTGTAGATGAGGAAAGTAATGACATTCCTAGTTCGTACCAAGCAATTCTGTGGTTTTGTAGAAAGTGTGGAGCATAAAATTGGACTTGGGTCAATTTGCATCAGATGGCAAGATTTTAAAAATTTGACCCCCAACAAAACCCCATCCCCAAATGGCTCACTTCAGGCTTAACATAGGCAGAGCATCTACTTCCAGAAGGCAGCCTGACAATTTAAATGTTATAATTATTCTGGCAGCCTCTGATTTAACCTGCCTGCAGTTTAACTCTGGTCAGCTGCCCCAGGAATCATGGAGGAAACTGAGGACAACTTTGAACAGAAGGGAAACCCTTGCAAAGTACTGCTGGTTGGCCCAGAGAAGCCCTTATCCTCTGAGGTGGTAGAGGTCTAGGTTTGGAAGGTGCTGTCGAAGGAGCCTTAGTGATTTACTGCAGGGCGTCGTGCAAATGGTATGCATTGTGGCCACTGTATATAAGTGGTGAAGGGAGTAAATGATAAGGTGGTGGATCGCATACCAATCAAGCGGGCTACTTTGTCCTGGATGGTGTCAAGCTTCTCGAGTGTTGTTGGAGCTGCACCCATCCAGGCAACTGAGGATTATTCCATCACACTCCTGACTTTCTTGCCATGGATAGAAATGCATTGTTTTTACACTGAGAAACTAGTCATAATGCACAAAACATCACAGGTATCCTGCTCCATTAGTAAGAAACTAATCACATATAGCTTGAGGGGCATCACACTGTAAGTGTGGAGCAAGATGAGAAGGCATATCTCCATGAAGCACTATAGCCAGTATCATTGTACATCACAGCTAACCAATTCCCCACACAGGCGATTTATAACAGCCACACTAGAGAAGCATCATTGCTTCTTGTGGACAGAAGTATTGACATGTTCTATGCAATGTAAGTGGTCAATAAATGCTGGCCCAGCCAGAGATACCCATTTCCCACGAGTAAGTAAGAAAAATATATTCTGGGAATGAATGCTTGTTACAGCGAGCAAGGAGACAAATATAAACTGTCAGTTTTATTTTGCTTAGTAATGGAAACAATGAACTCATGACTGTAAACATTTTTTCTTTCTTTTCAAATATAGTTTTAAGGTTTTTGTTTGATGAGAAGTGTGGCTACAACAGTGATCACCTGATCTTAAACAAACAGAGAGACTCTGTGGAGAGTGTTGCTGGGCTTCCCATGTTACTCGGTGCAGAACGGATTGTGGTTGGAAGTTATATGTCTCTGGACTTCATCACTGGGGACACAGGAGTAACAAAAGGAAAATACTACTGGACCTTCCGAGTGGAGCTCGGCTCATATCTGGTTAAAGTAGGTGTGGTGTCCGACACAAAGCTGCAAGAGTGGTTTCACAGTCCACGAGATATCAACAGTCCCAGGTTTGTCCCTTGTCAACTATTCAATGTAGCTGCATGGTACTAACTGTACATCAATTTACAAGCTGTAAATGCTGGTTGCAAACATATCCTGGCAATGAGTTCATGGCCCTGGAGTGAAGGTCAAGTCGCTTATTCACTTTTTATTGCAATTTATAATGTTGGAAAACTTTTCCTGGAATATTACATAAAGAGAAAAATGAAACCATCTCCAATCAGCAGAAAGTGTTGCACTGTTCAAAACTGCTGCTAGTCAATTGTGTGAATGATGCTGACCCTTATCCCATTTATTTAGAATGATTACAAAACCAGTCACTGCTTAATAGGCAATAATAAATTCTTTAATGGAATTCTAGTCCATCATCAGACGTTGAGTTTTGATATGTTCTAGTGCAATGATGCAAGAAAGATTATTAAGTGAGTTTTTATTTTAAATAAGAATTTCTGGATACCATTGTGCACCATAGTAGCATGACATGTGAAATATTGCTTACATACATAAAGACAAATGCAGGAAAATAAGGAAAGTCAAGGTAAGAAAGTGAGGAACCTAGAGGGTGGTCAGTGTTAGTACTGTCCAAATGTGTCGTCACCTCAGAGGCAGGTTCTGAGGTGTCTGACAGGTTCCTTCCATGTCTTAAGATCACATCAGAACACAGGACCTAGGATGTGCACCATAAGACCAGAGGATGTAGGAGCAGAATTAGGTCATTCAGCCCATTGAGTATGCGTCACCAATCAATCATGCTGATATGTTTCTCAATCCAACTCTCCTGCCCTTTACCTGTAACCCTTGGTCCCCTTAGTAATCAAGAACCCACTTAGCTGTGTCTTAAATGCACCAAATTACTTGGCTTCCACAGCCCTCTGTGACAATGAGTTCCACAGATTCGCCACCCTCTGGCTGAAGAAATTCTTCCTTATCTCAGTTCTAAAGTTCTTCACTCTGATGCTGTGCCATCAGGTCCTAGTCTCTCCTACTAATGGAAACATCATCTCCACATCCACTCCATCCAGCCTCTCAGTATTCTGTAAGTTTCAGTGAGAACCTGCTCTCATCATTCTAAACTCCAGGACCCAGAGTCCTCAACTGATCCTCATACGACAAGTTTTTCATCCCTGAGATCATTCTTGGAAAGCTCCTCTAGACCCCCTCCAGTGCCAATGGAGTAAGATTTTGGCTGTTCAATTATGGCCAATCTGATTATGGCCTCAAATTGGCTTTTCTGTCTTAACAGTTGAATCCCTTGTCGATCAAAAATGTATTAAAATCAGCCACACATAAATTCAAGTTCAATAACCGAGCCTCCACTGTTTTCTGAAGAAGAGTTCCAAAAACTAACAATTCTTTTGACAGAAAAATAAGCCCTCTTCCCTGTCTTAAAAGGGACACTTCCTGGTTTTAAACCATGCCCCCAGTGCTAGATTCCCCTTCTGTCAAGTCCCCTCGGGATCTTACATGTTTCATTATGATCACCTCTGTGTCTTCTCAATTCCAATGGGTTAGGTCCAGTCTGATTGCCGTTTCTACATAACATAATTCCTTCATCCCAGGAATGAATCAAGTGAGCCTTCTCTGAACTGTTGCTAATATAAATATGTCCTTTTCCAAGTAAAGGGACTAAAATTCTATACAATACTCCAGATGTCATCCCACCAATGCCTGTATAGCTGCAGTAAAACTTCCCTACTTTTATATTCCATTGCCCTTGTTGTAAATGACAATGTTATATTTTTCATGCTAATCACTTGCTGTGCCAGTATACTGACCTTTTATGATTTGTGTGTCAAGACACCCAGGTCCGTCTGTACCATTGAGTTCTGCAACATCTCTCTGTTAAATAGTATAATGCTTTTCTATTCTTCTTAGAGAAGTTGGCAAATTCACATTTTCCTGCATTATTCTTCATCTGCCAAAATTTTGCCTACCCACTGAATTTATCTTTATCCTATTTGTAGACACTATACCTTCTTTGCCAAATTCCTATCCTATCTATTTTGGTTACAATAGCAAATTTAATCACCATTTAGTCAGACTCTTTATCCAAGTCATTGATACAGGCATGTAAATATTTGAGGCCTCAGCACTGATTCCTGTGGCACCAACTAGTTACAGCTTCCAACTTGTAAAAGACTCATTTATCCCTGTTCCCTACATCTTGTTAGCTCAACACCATGAGCTCTCATTTTGTATTGAAATCTTTGATAAGGCACCATATCAAAAACATTGTGAAAACCAAGTACCTTGCATCTACTAATTCCTCTTTATCCACCTTTCTTCTAATTTCACCAAAGACCTGCAATAAATTAGTCAAACACATCAATAACTTATGGTCCAGACCAATGCTAAATGAATCTGACAATTAGAATTGCTCACATTATTTACTAAATTAAACGGCCATTATTATTTAGAATTGCAGTGGAAATGGAGCATAAACGTAAAATCACTTAGCATCAATAATTCTAGTCTAGATTTGACCCAATTAAATATAAAGCTAATAAGAAAGTTATAACCAAAAGCTTAATCTAATAGTGTTAGTGAAGTATTTTTTAATGTTAGTCTTATGAAGGCTCACCTGAAAATTGCAGGATATAGTCTACATTCTAAAGTGTTATACAGGACCTGACAAATCTGTTAGAATACTTTGAGGAGCTAACAAGCAAGTTAGACAAAAGAGAGTCAGTGGATGCGATCTATTTGGGTTTCCAAAAGGCCATTGACAAGGTGCCACGCAGGAGGCTGCTAAGTAAGATAAGAGCCTGTGGTGTTACGGAAAGGGTGCTGACATGGATAGAGGATTAGCTGACTGGAAGCAGAAAGTGGGGACGAAGGGGATTTTTTTCAGGATGGCAGCCAGTGACTAGTGGAGTTCAGCAGGGATCAGTGTTGGGACCACAACTATTCATGTTATATATTAATTATCTGGATGAAGGAACTGAGGGCATTGTGGCTAAATTTGTAGATGATACAAAGATTGGTGGAGGGACAGATACTATTGAGGAGGTAGGGAGGCTGCAGAAGGACTTCAACATGCTAGGCGAGTGGGCAAAGAAATGGCAGATAGGATACAATGTGGGAAAGTGGGACATTATGCATTTTGTTAGGAAGAATGAAGGTATAGACTATTTTCTAAATGGGGAAAAGCTTCAGAAATATGAAACATGGGGGATTTGGTAGTCCTAGTTCAGGATTCTCTTAAAGTTAACATGCAGGTTCAGTTGCTAGTTAGGAAGGCAAATGCAATCTTGACATTCATTTCAAGAGGGCTAGAATACAAGAACAGAGATGTACTGAGACAGTTTTGGGCCTTGTATTTAAAACACGATGCACTGGCATTGGAGGGGATCCAGAGGAGATTTACAAGAATGATTCTGGGGATGAAGAGCTTGTCATATGAGGAATGGTTGAGGACTTTGGCTGTGTATTCATTGGAGTATAGAAGGATGAAGGGGGATCTGACTGAAACTTATAGAATACTGTGATGCCCGGATAGAGTGAGCATAGAGAAGATGTTTCCACTAGTCAGAGAGACTAGGACCCGAGGGCACAGTTTCAGAGTGAAGGGATAACTCTTTATAAGTGAGATGAGGAGGAATTTCTTCAGCCAGAGAGTGGTGAATCTGTGGAGCTCTTTGCCACATAGGGCTGTGGAGGCCAAGTCATTGAGTGTCTTTAAGACAGAGACGGATAGGTTCTTGATTGGTAAGAGGATCAAGGGTTACAGGGAGAAGGCAGGAGAATTGGTTTGAGAAACATATCAGTCATAATAGAATAGTGGAGGAGACTCAATGGGTCAACTGGCCTAATTCTGCTCCTATATCTTATGGTCATATAGCCTTTTGGGGTTGCACCTGAATTTTCCCAGCTGGCTGCTGGTTATACAGTCAAGAACCAGTAAGGTGCATTATCCCAAACTCTATTCTTACTATTAGCAAAGTGAGGGACATACTCCGCACATACCTGCATTTTCAATCTGTGTGAGATACTCTACAACTTCCTAAGCTGTTAATAGCTTAATAAGGACACTGTTAGATATTTTACGTAAAAACATCTGGCTATGATAACTACAGGACTGCAGTTTTTTGACATCCCATTGTTAACTTAAGGGGGACATTTGTTACTGCTCTAGCCAGGCCTCAATCAGACTTCACACTTTTTGTATTAACAACCTTAAGTGGACAACTATGCAGGTAGTTCTGCTATAACACGTGTTTCATTAATGTGAATTGGCTGTAACATGACTGATGAATAGTGAATGAAAAGTGGATGCCGTTTGGATAATACATACTTTCTGCTGTACAGGTACAGCAATTGCCCTATAACGTGATTTTCTATAGCGATTTTCTATAGCGTGAGGTCACACAAGAACACAACTATTGCATTATCGGAGAACTACCTGTACTAAACTATTAGCAACCAGAGTTAAATATTCTACCAACACCAGTTAATAGCCTCAGCAACTGTAATTCTTCAAAATCTATAAACAGGTTGGATAATCCAAACTTTTGCACTTCAATTGCAAGTTTGCTTTGTTAAACAATTTCTACTGGAGCTAATTGTATTTCTGTTTTTTATATACAATTAATATGGGTAAATGTTGACACTGACATCATTCTCAATACTCCTGTGAATCCTGCATTAAACAGAGCCGAATAGATGCAAGGTAATTGCAGGTGTGGTACAATAAGTAATAGAGATGAGCTGTTAGCTCGGAACTGCAGTTCTGTCTGTCATTCCCTTTGATTCTTCTAGCATGTGGTGAACATGAATATGCAATTCATTAAAGAAAGTATTGTAGTTAAGTAAATGCATGCAAAGCCTTCCAATTAATCTCCCAAAACCCTGCCTGGAGCAACTGCTGAAAAATGCGTCTTGCGTTTGTCGGAGCTATTTTGTCTTCAGTCAACTTACTTTTCTCCGACTGAAAGCTATCTTGTTTTGTTATAAAAACACAGCTGCAAGTGTCAGTAATGGATAGATATTATCGGTGTTTATTTTGTCTCTCTTTTCTAACATAATTGCTTGTTTTTCACAGGTACGATCAAGACAGTGGCCATGACAGCGGGAGTGAAGATATTGCTTTGGAACACTCCCAACCTTTCACTTTTGTTACCATAGGGATGAGGAGGCTTTTCATCCCGAAAGGTTCTGCCAGTTCATCCACAGAATCTTACAAACGCTCTCTATCCACTCCCAATCGAATTGGCATTTGCCTGGACTATGACAAAGGGAGAGCGAATTTCTACAATGCAGATACTATGCAGTGTTTGTATGAAAGAAGGGTGGAATGTTCTGGAACAATGTATCCTGCCTTTGGGCTAATGGGAGGTGGGGCAGTACATCTGGATGAATTAATTACAGTGAAAGAATCTACAAAACTTAATTTCTTTCTCGATTCTTGATTGCTGGGAAGCATTTTTCCCCATAGATTTAAAAACGTAAAAAATATGTTTGCTTCCCTGTTCATAGCACTTTATGGCATGCGTTGCTTGAAGAGCCTCTATAAATGGTTCCACTTGGTTCTCAGTAGAGTTTGTGCAATACACAGCCACTGATTAGACAATAGAAATTGGTAGTGATGTTTGTGGCTGTCAGAAATCTTTCTTTCATCCTCCTTCACCTCTGCTTCACTTTGTTTTCACACAAACTGGATTGTTTAAAACTAGCTGGAAATGCACCTTTTCAAAGAAGTAAGACTGTTGAGATGTGTTAATTATTTTGTTAAGATTTGCAGATGTGACCAACTGCATTTGGCTTATTTAAAGTTTTCAAAGTAAAATCGTAAACCCAACTGTTGTGAGTTGCCCTGTTTTTGACCGAATCGTGTTTTAGAATCCCAGGTTGCATCACTGCCAGGATGGAGTGAAATAAATTGATAATGTCAACAGTCAAAGCTGCTCAAATAAAAGCAAAATACCGTGGAAACTGAAGATCTGAACTAAAAGTGCTGGAGAAATTCAGCAGGTCTGGCAGCATCTGTGGAGAGAGAAACAAAGTTTTCAATCCAAAATGACACTTTAAAAACAAATCAAAATTATAAAATGCTCATTGCTAAAACATTGGTTGAAGAGGCCCTTTCAACAGTTTCTTTGAGTATCTTCACGATGCCATAATTCTCTAAAAATACTCCAGATACAGCCCTGAATATTTCTATCAATTTACTCAAGATTTATAAATGTATTTTGGAAGAATACATGTATGTTTTTTCTGAAATTATCTATCAAATTAATACACAAGACTTCAGAAAATCTTCCCCCACCATATCATGTGTGTACAGCACGCTAAATGACTGAACCTTTCAGATGCCAGTCAGTTGTATTGAGTCTGCTTAGATTAGACTAATCTCAGTTGTCTGGGAATATATAAAGCCTACCTGGTGTGTTACCATCTGCCATCTGCCATCTTCTTCTCAAGTTTCTCATTATATGATGTCCTTGAATATTAAATACAAGCTGCGTCAGTAATCTTTCCACCATAACAAACGTAGAAAGTGTAAAAACATGTTAAATCATTCATGGAAAATTTAGGAAGACTTTGCTCAACCACAGTGAAGCACTGAAAATTGTTAATGCACGTATTCTTTACAAGAGGAGGTGGATAACTGACTAAACGCGTTTTATAGGCTGGGGGCAGAAAAGCACTAATAAAGAAGTAAAAAAAACTAAATATCTCACAAAATTGCAACAATGATGGTCATTGGGCTAAGGTAACTCAATGCTATTTTACAGTTGGAAGTTCTTGGTCTGGAAATGTCTCTCATTTCCTGAAAGATGAAATCTGAAGGAAAGCTGGACCAGGATATACTGGAATGTTACTGTAGTCCCGGAGAAGCCAAGCTGACTGTGTCAAATTCAAATCTGTGTCGAAATGGTTTTGAATGCATCAGTGAAGGTAATGTTGGGAGCCAGTCTCTGTCTGAGACCTGGACTGGCTTGAACTGGTGTAACTCACACAATAACTAGCATCACTGAACTGAACACCTCAGCTGACTCCTTCAATAACTGTCTGTCCCAGCTTTCTTGAATATTTCTCCTACGTAACTCTCATCCAGACTATTTCCCTGACCCAACTATCTCCTTACCCCTACTTGACCTTACCCAACTGCCCTTTCACTTTAGCCACCCACCCAATAACCTACTCACTAAATTATATAATCATCTACTCTCTCTCCCTCTCTCTCTATCTCTTTCACTCACTCACTCACTCACTCATCCAGTTGCCCACTCATTAACTGACTGGGAACTTTAAAGCTTATCATAATAAGGCAGAGAAAGGGGTGCAGGGTCCTTGCTCTGTCTTCTTGTGCACTTGCCAGTCTTGCCCTGGAGATGCAGCATCGGCCAATTTCAGCTGTAGCTGGGATCTGAAATCCTGGCGACGAATTCACAATAAAGTCGGGCACAGAAAAGTTCCTAGGCAGTGCTAATACAGCTAGCTGCAGCACAGGCATCTGACTACAATGTGCAAAATTGCCCAGATATCTCTGTCCGCTAAAGCAGGGCACAAGAATATTGTCCCACTTACCTATTCTCAAATCCCAGCTGAATTCCAGCAGTGATTGGATTCTTGATTGGTAGGGAATCATGGATTATGGGGAAAGGGCAAGAAAGTGGACATGAGGAGTGTCAGATTAGTATTGATCCTATTGAATATTGGAGAAGCCTTGAGGGGCTGAATGGCCTATTCGTGCTCCTATTTCTTATGGTCTCATGGACTCTAGCATTTCAAGCAGAATTGCTTAGGCCTGTCTATGAATTGTTGCTTCTAGTGTTTACCAAGCAAGTCATCCAGTGGCTTCACCAAACTAAGACGTTCATTTTTACTTTATGTCTGGTGTATGCCTGGCATGCTTTCAATCAGTCTTCATTGATCCAGGGTTGATCTCTTAACTTCTTGGTTATAATAGTTAGGAAATGCTGGGCCATGAGACTGCAGATTATGTTGGAGCATTATTTTATTACTGCTGATGACCCACAGCAACCTAGACCTGAGTAGCTCAATCTGTTCGAAGTCTGTACCATTTAACGTGGTAATTGTGCCTTAAAACACGATTGAGCAACGCTATTGAAGATAGTGCTCAGTCTCCACAATGACTGTGTGGTGGTTTTTCCTACAGATACTGTCATAAACGAATGCATTTGCAGCAGGCAAATTAGTGAGATTGAGGCCAAGTACATTTTTCCTTCTTATTTGTTTCTTTGCCACCTGTCACAGATCTAGTCTAGCAGCTATGCCTTTTAGCTCTCAACCAGCTTGATCAGTAGTGTTGTTGCTGAGCCACTCTTGATGGTGGACATTGTCCCCCACCGAGAGTACATTCTGCACCCTTGCCACCTTCAGTTCTTCCTCTAAGTGGTGTTCAACTCAGAGGGACACTGATTCATTCGTGGAGGTGGAGGGGTGCGGAGGTGTGGGCGGTGAGCAGTATGTGGTAATCAGCAGGAGGTTTCTAGCCCATGTTTGAGCTGATGCCATGATGCCATCTGGGGTTAATGTTGAGGACTCCCAGGACAACTGCTTCCCGACTGTATACAACTGTGCCACCACCTCTGCTTGGTCTGCCCTGCTGCTGGGCGAGGCTTACCCAGGAACAAAAACAAAAGCTCAGCAGGTCTGGCAGCATCTGTGAAGAAAAAGAGTTCATGTTTCAGGTCCGGTGACCCTTCCTCAGAACTGAGGCTTACCCAGGGCTGGTGATGGTGGAACATTATGTGTAAGCCTTGATATCTGAGTATGGCGGGCTATTGCTTGACCAGTCTGTGAGGCAGCTCTTCCAATTTTGGCACTGGCCCCCAGATTTTGGTTAAGGAGACTTTGCACAGTCAGAATTTGCCGTTGACTTTTTTTGGTGCTTAGGTTGATGCCAGGTGGTCTGTCCAGTTTAATTCCTTTTCTGAGACTTACTAGTGGCACTACGTGTTAAATGCTTCATTTATTTAGATGTGTGCTTGTGATTGCTCTGCACCATTTTAGTAAAATATATTAAAGCACGAGTAAAAAAAGATTTCATCTACAATTTTAGCACAAGTAATTTTCATGAACTATTTATTTGGAGTTGAATTGACCCATCATTTTTAGAGATGGCATTGAGAAATTGGCAATAAATTGGTAGCTGAGTCAGACAAGTCCAGAGGAATGCAGGAAACTGTTCTCTGCCTCCTCTTTCTTTGCTTGACCTGGTAAGGCCATGACACCTTTAGCACAATGAATTGTTATATGTGCTCATGGAGGGAGCACTAACCTCTCTGGCTATTTTCTTCAACAGAACACAGAGAAAAGTGGGTTGATTAAGAAGAGCCAGCATGGATTTCTAAAGAGGAAATCATGTTAACTAGCTTGCTGGACTCTTTTTGAAGAGGCAACAGAAAGGCTCGATGTGGTATACATGGATTTCTGGAATGCGCTTGATACAATGGGACTCAACAGATTTGTGAGGAAAGTTAGGGGTCATGGTATAGAAGGGATAGTTGCAATGTACATACAAGATTGGCTGTGTGATAGGAGACAGAGAGTAATGGTAAATGGATATTTTTCAGGCTTGAGGAAGGTTTGTTGTAGAGCTCAGCTGGGGTCAGTATTGGAAACTTTATTTTTCCTGATAGATATAATGATTTGGATCTTTGTGTGCAGGGAACAATTTCAAAGTTTGCAGATGACATGAAATTTAGAAGAATTGTAAATTGTGAGGAGGATAGTGTGGAACTCCAAAAGGATGTAGATGAGTTGGTGGAGTGGGCAGATAGGTGGCAGATAAAGTTCAATGCAGAGAAATGTGAGGGGATGCATTTAGTTAGAAGAACATTGAAAGACAATATAAAATAATGAGTACAGTTCTAAAGGGGTGCTGGAACAGAGGCACCTGGGTGTAAATGTGCACAGATCATTGAAGGAAGCAAGACAGGTGGAGTGAGCAGTTAATAAAGCACAGCATCTTTAGCCAGAAGTGCTCAGTGGAAAGTCCATCTCAGTCTTCTTCAGAGGTCACCAGCATCACTGATACCCGTCTTCAGCCAATTCAATTCACTCCACATGAAGTCAAGAAATGGTTGGAGACACTGTATGCTGTAAAAGGATACAGGCCAAGACAACAGTCCAGCAATAGTACTGAAGACTTGTACTCCAGACCTTGCCACTTCCCTTGCCAAGCTATTCCAGTACAGTTACAACACTGGCATTTACCCAACAATGTGGAAAATTGACTAGGAACAGCCTGTACTCAAAGCAGGACAAATCCAACCCAACCAATTACCACCCCATCAGCCTACTCTCGATCATCAGTAAAGTGATAGAAGGTGTCATCAACAGCGCTATCAAGAAGCACCTGCTCAGCAATAACCTGCTCAGTGATGCCCAGTTTGGGTTCCGCCAGGGCCACTCAGCTCCTGACCTCAATATAGCTTTGGTTCAAACATGGACAAAAGAGCTGAATTCCAGAGGTGAGGTGAGAGTGACAGCCCTTAACATCGAGGTTGCATTTGACTGAGTGTGGCATCAAAGAACCCTAGCAACACTGGAATCAATGGGTGTCAGGGGCAAACTCTCCTGTGGTTGGAGTCATATCTGACACAAACGAAGATGGTCATAGTTGTTGGAGGTCAATCATCTCAGCTCCAGGAAATCTCTGCAGGAGTTCCTTAGGGTAATGTCCTAGGCCCAACCATTTTCAGCTGCTTCATCAATGACCTTCCCTTTATCATAAGGTT